CCGGGCGTGATCTGCCAATGATCAAATTCGATTTGCCACTGATCTAGAAGAGATCCCATCTATTTCTCTTTTACCTGAATAACAATGAACTGGACTTTAAATGCATATCGGTATAAAGAAAATCAATGATGCCGTATTTTCGTCAAAGATCAAAGGTTACACCAAGTAACCGGATTTGACCTTGAGTTTGACATACGGGTTGCGAGAAAACAGCGTGGCTTTCCACTTGATTGACCTAATTGCCCTTGAATGCTATATTGGTGCATGTTCCAGAAAGATAACGGTGTCTCACTTTCTGACGAATGATTCTCAAACATCATAGCCCGCACACTGAATTGAAGAGCAGTTGAAAATAGGGTTCATGACGTCATCATGTATTTTCATCTGCGCCTAGTTCCTTATCGGCACGCCGTGAAGCTCTAAAACCTGCGGGGTCATATTTTGACCGTGTAATTACCAGCGCAGGGCGAATTCAACCAAACAGTTGACTTCTGATACGGGCGGCGCCCGGACTGTAGCTGGAACACAAACGGCGAGCACCACTCAGTGCAGCCGAGTGGTGCCGTTCGGTCGAGTGGTGCCGAGTGGTGCCGTTCGGTCGAGGAGAGCGGCGGCGCCTAGAAGTGTGCCTCTGGCAGCCTGCCAGCCTACAGCGTGGTCGGGCGATTCGTCAGTGCAGTGCCCGCCAGCGGGGTATCGCGTTAGACGCAGAGACTCTGGAGGGCTCCGAACGCGCCCTTCTGCGAACCACGCGGTCAGATATCTGTTGTCAAGGCTGATGCGGGTTGAGACAGTCTTGAGGAGCAGGGGCGCGTCTAGGTTCCGACCCGTCGTCACCTTTTTCAAGGTTTCGTGTTTCTGTTCTCCTATCTCGGAGTACGCATCGCTGTGTCCCAACGTGCGCTGCTGATCCACACGTGTTCTGTCTCTCGGCTCCCCGCTGCTCTGCTCCATCTCTGTCTCCCTGGCGCGCCGCTCCCCACTGCCCTGTCCCATCTCTGTCTCCCTGGCGCGTCGCTCCCCACTGCCATGCCCGTCTCTGTCTTCCTGGCGCGTCGCACCCCACTGCCTTGCCCGTCTGTGTCTCCCTGGCGCGCCGCTCCCCATTGCCCTGCCCGTCTGTGTCTCCCTGGCGTGTCGCTCCCCACTGCCCTGTCCCATCTGTGTCTCCCTGGCGCGCCGCTCCCCACTGCCCTGCCCCATCTCTGTCTCCCTGGCGCGTCGCTCCCCACTGCCCTGCCTCGTCTCTGTCTCCCTGGTACGTCGCTCCCCACTGCCCTGCCCCATCTCTATCTCCCTGGCGCGCCGCTCCCCACTGCCCTGCCCCATCTCTATCTCCCTGGCGCACCGCTCCCCACTGCCCTGCCCCATCTCTGTCTCCCTGGCGTGCCGCGGTGTCCGTTCACATCGTCCGGTCCGCATGGGTACGGCCTCTGCCATCTGGCGTTGCCATTACGCTTCTGTTATTTACGAACGGATCCTATGACTGACTCGGATTCTATTCTGTCCATGGGATTGTTGGCGTCTAATTGTCACACTCGGCCACTGGGGTAATGATGCATCGCGGCGGCAGGTGAGCGCAATTCCAGTGCCTCGGCGTTTTGAATTTGAATACTATACTGAATCAGCCTCATAAAGCACGCTGGTCCGTGAATTCAAATACATGACATTCAGCAATCCAAACTTGTAAATGGTCGCTCGCAGGCACGTGCTCGGCGCGGCAGGGTGGCAGTTCTACGTGAAGCAATAACCGGAGTACATCAAGATGAACTCGTTTACCGCCAGCGCAGGTTTTCCCTCAATACTATCGACAAACATGCACTTCTGCTTACAGAAAGTTCTACCATTAAGCAAAAGCTCTGAACTTTACCACTAGGATCGCTGGTGTGAGACGGAGCACAACTTGCCGATGCTGGCTGTCTCCGTTTGTTTAACTTGAAATTTATTGAAGTTGATTTATCCTTATGTATTCCAGTACTGCCCAGCGTAGCCTTTTGGCTTCATTTTTGATCACACCCTATTTGCATGCATTTTGAAATCGGTACACTGACGGACACATGGACGAAATGTTACAAAACGTGTCCCAGCTGCTTACTTCGTTGCACCCGACCGGCGCTGTCGATCCTTCCAGCGTATCTCTTAATTGTACGGCCGTGTCTGCCTCATCTGCATTATCCACTCGACTGAATTGATGAGATGAGAAGCAGTGACCGAGTTTGAGAAAAGATCACGATAGCACCACCGCTGTCAGGGGGAGCGGCGGAGCATAAGCGCGGCCGTGGACAGCAAAACAATACATGCTGCCGTCTCCATGCCGCATGGACATATGTAAATTTCGATGTTTGGAATTCGTGATAACGTGACGTAGTGTGCCGGCCATGTGTTAACGGGGTGCGATGTGCGATCTAAGAGGGGAAGCCTGCATGCTACTGATTCTAATTACACAGAAATCCTCCGCCCTCGGTGTCTTGGCCGTAAGGTCATGTTAGTCATGACCATAAGGTCGCCTCCACTGGCCTAGCTTCTGCTTCATCCCACACTTGTTTACCAGGGCAAATGACATGACATCACATGGCCACTCGTATTGGAAACCTCCCGATATTTTCCAAAGAGCAAGACGTTTTTTGGAATACCTATTTGGCAGATCCCAGGAACCATTGCGCAGATCGCGGGGACCACCACAGCAGGTCACTAGGACGATCCCGGCAGGTCACTAAGGCCATCACGACAGGTCACTACGGCCATCACGGTAAGTCTCAGAGACCACCACAGCAGGTCACTGAGACCATTACGACACGCCACGCCACGACATGTCACTTGGGCCATCACGGCAGGTCACCAGGGTCATCATGGCAGGTCACGGGGACAGCCACGGCAGGTCACGGGGACCATCACGGCAGGTCACTAAGGTCATCATGGCAGGCCACGAGGACCACCACGGCAGATCACGGGGACCACCGCGGCAGGTCACTAGGACGATCCCGGCAGGTCACTAAGGTCACCACGACAGGTCACAGGAACCACCATGACGGGTCATTAGGGCAACCACAACAGGTCTGGGGATCCCGATTACCAGAGCTGTAGAGCATTGAGCTTCACTCTGCAGGGTGCCTCTTGCTGGCGCGCTGTCAGGGGACGTCGCTCCTTTAGCAGTGGGTGAGACCACCGGCCTCGTACTGACCTCGCACGCTAGAGGCGCCAAATGGCCAAGGCAGTCGAAGCGCCCTTAAAACCAAATATCATCATCATCATCGGTGCGCACGGGCGGAGACCGCTGCAGCTGGTCAGCACCGCAGAGACTGATCTCACCGGTAACAGTTCTTCTCGCACGAGAAACTGGCGGTCGTGAGGAGCGGACGCGGGGTCCGGCTGACTGTCATGACACTGATGGTGGGACCGGCGCCGACAGTGCCGCTGTGGTAACCCCATGACACGTTGCTGGCTGTCATGACACTGATGGTGGGACCGGCGCCGACAGTGCCCCTGTGGTAACCCCATGACACGTTGCTGGCTGTCATGACACTGATGGTGGGACCGGCGCCGACAGTGCCCCTGTGGTAACCCCATGACACGATTGCTGGACTGTCATGACACTGATGGTGGGACCGGCGCCGACAGTGCCACTGTGGTAACCCCATGACACGAGGCTGACTGTCATGACTCTGATGGTAGGACCGGCGCCGACAGCGCCACTGTGGTAACTCCATGACGCGAGGCTGACTGTCATGACACTGATGGTGGGACCGGCGCCGACAGTGCCACTGTGGTAACCCAATGGCACGATTGCGACTCACTGTCACCACCTCACCCTCGGATGAAGGTGAAGTGGTGACACGGAGTCGGAACTCTGTTCCAATAACCCTTGACCTATATATATATATATATATATATATATATATATATATATATATATATATATATATACATACATAACCGCGATATTACTCCCACCATTTGTGATAGTGATAGATATGATACTTAGTGATAGTGATAGATATGTGATAGATACATCACTTATATCTATATATGTTATATATATGGGAGATCACTTTCTATATCAGACGCACCATTTATCCCTGTGGTCACCATTCTAACGGCACGCTAACGCTCCGGCCCGTTATGATCACGCTGCCCGCGTGCCAGCGCTCTGCGCCATATCCACCGGTCTGACCTGTGTCACCACTTTGACGCCACGTCACCTGTCTGACACGTGTGACGATTCTGACCGCGTCCCGCCAGTCTAAAACCGGTTCACCAGAAACCGGCTCGCAAGCAAAGCCGGAAACCGACCTTGAAACCGGAAACCTGTTCACAACACGAAACTCATATCACGGTCGTGTGCCCGAGTCAGGGTTACATTTCTTTATCACTTCTCCGACGTAAGGACATTGCTCTGACTCCGTGCGCCACTGTGACCTCTGTAGCCCGATGTCACCAATGTAGCCTGGTGTCACCAATGTAGCCCAGTGGTGCCAAAGTAGGCCAGTGGCACCAATGTATCTCAAGTTACTAAAGTAGCCTGTGTCACCGCTGTGACCCGGTTTCACCACTGTAACCCGGTGCCATAACTGTAACCCGGCTTTACCACTGTAAACCGGTGTCACCACTGTATCCCGGTGCCACCACTGTAACTCGGTGCCGCCACTATAACCCGGTATCTCCACTGTAACCTGGTGTCTCCACTGTAACTTGTTGTCACCACTGTAACCCAGTGTCACCAGTGTAACTCGTTGTCACCACTAACCCGGTGTCTCCACTCTAGCCCAGTGTCACCAATGTAACCCGTTGTCACCACTGTAACCCGGTGTCTCCACTGCAACCCAGTATCACCGCCGTAACCCGGTGCCACCACTGTAACCCGGTGTCTCCACTGTAATTTGTTGTCACCACTGTAGCCCGGTGCTCCGCTGTAACCCAGTATTACTGCAACGCGGTGCCACTACTGTAACCCTGCATCACCGCTGTGACCCGTTGTCACCACCGTACCCCTGCGTCCCCAGTACGCCCTTCCGGTTGGCGGGCTGATCGTCCTGACGGCGATCGCCGGCGGCCAGTACGGTCACCTGCCCATCAAGTCCAGCTACATCGCCAAGAAAGTGGCCCGACTTGTCGGACCGAGCCACTTAGGGGAGCCGCTGCCCTACAAGAGAAGTGGGCGCGTCGGCAGGGACATCTATCGGCAGCAGCATGAAGCAGTGCTGGACACCGTTGTGAGGGTGAGGAGGTTGAGGAGCGTGATTGGTTTAGAGCCTTTTGCTGCCTGTCGTTTGTTGTGCGCTAATTTGTGCTTGCCTTCTGGTAGAGTCTCATCTGATATGCAAACTAGACATGGTAGAAACGCCCCAAGCTAAATCTTCTCCGCTCAACTTTGTTTTAGATTTAGCTCCACGTTCACTTTAAGTTGGATTTGAGATAGTCTTTGTGCGTCGTGAACTGAGCTGAACGAACCAAAACGCATGAGACCAAAAAGGGAACAAAACATTTTCATTCAGAAACAAGAGACTTTCAACAGATACGCAATTGCGATGCCCAAACCAATTGCATGGGCTTCAAAATGTGCCGTGCTGCATTAATCTGAGCTGAAAACAATCAATAGATGTTTGGGGTTTGTGCAGCAGAGGTACAAAGCAATGTTTTGTATACAACTCACTTAAAGACGCAGATACCGCGTGGAAAGTGATCTGAACCTGAAGACACAAAAGCACTTATAAAAAACATCCTGGAAACAACATACACATATGTGTATGCCCGTACATATATTTTGGGTGTGGAATAGCCTGGTCCGATGCATAAACATATCAGGACAGCCTACGTGGAAATCCGCCCGTCTTTTCTCCCCCACTGCACCATAGTGACTACCCGGAGTGTTATTTTTAGTAGCTTATTCGGGGCAAGCTGCATGTATCAGTTGTCAGTGGGGTTAAGTGCCCCCCCCCCCGCCCCCCTCCCCCACCTTGGCGGGACCCTCGCTTAGGCCCCTCACGTGCAGTGCCAAGACTCCTAAGTCATTGTAACGGGTAACTCCCAGATACTCAAAGCGTCACTCCCACCCGACTCACTTTTCCATTGCAAGGTCCTGAACAGGTCACCGCTGTTTGAAAGGTTTCTAGTCCTGACCAAAACAAACCAAAACTGGAGCATCACAACTGGGAAGTAGGGTGCCATCAGGTTGTTACCAGCCCGGTGCTTGCCCATCTCTCCCTTTTCAATGCTAAAGTGAAGATGTGGTTTTCGCTCCGGTTTTTTTTTTTGATAAAGCGCATGACAAATGCAACGTCTCCAGCGGCAGTACATGGACCCGACCGCCGTTGGTAAAAGGACGGAGCGGGTCTAGGTGAAATTGCTAATAATCCGTCTCAGAATGTTCAGCAATAAGTTTGCGAGTATACGTCGTCACCCACGCAGATCAAGGCTTGGATAATTGATTACTTCTTCGCCAAGCTCGTTTCCATTTTATCTCGGATTTTAAGAGCTACCAGACTGTCCAACTGCTTGCAAATATTGGCGAGCCATTCACGAAATAGCCGTGTTGAAGACCGGACCCTTGGCAAAAGGCATCCCTGTCCGGTCGTGTCCTTGGGCGCATCAGGCATACATTGGGCGCACTTCCGTAGCGGGTAGCTTAACGCCGCTATTTTGGCTCTCGCGAGTTAGCGCTTCAGAGGTTATGCTTTGGACATCTCTAGGGACTTTCATCGCCCCCATCAATAAAGGAGCTCTAAAACCTCTCAATCGACATCTTTTCGGGATGCTTGAAAAGCCCATTTTCTACCATGAGATGCCACTTAACGCAAGGGCTCAATGGAGTTTAGCTCACCAACCTCGCTGGAGCTCAGTGAGCTCGCAGCACGCCAATCTTTAACTTTCTGTCGGGAGCCATTGATGGTGAAAAACGAAAAACAATCCAGGCCTAAGAGGAGGGGAGGGGGCCTCTTGGCTGCGCCCATGCTGCCAAACGCTGGGGCTGCTCATGTCTCACCGGCATGCTGTTGAGTGTGTCGTCGATGTCTGACATCTATCTGCTTGCAGGCCGTCGCATTATTGGAAGAGGCGATGAGACAACACGGCGCCGCTTCCAGCGCCACCTGGCGGAAATCGCGAACTCCGTAGTGACGTCACTGCGTCGCTTGGCATGCCACTTCAAGGAGGTGATTTGGTCGATGCATTTATAGGAACACCTGAAGTAGATGTTGAGAATGAGACGGCAGGCTCTACGTGCGCTGAAGCCTTGTTCCAAAGTGTGGAGGGAAGTGGGGTGATTGATTCACTTCTGAGCAAACCCATGATGCAAACGCTCTTTCTTGAAGCTCTCCGAAGCTGGCTTTCTCCCAGCCACTTTGCCTGTCTCTTATTCAATGCTTCACAACACTCTGGCCTACTCGATCCCCTTTCCCCCAGCATCTAGCCTGTCGCCTGTTAAGGTCCAGGTGGTTAACCTCAAGGCTGAGGTGGTTGACCTCAAAGCTGAGACAGTCCGAAATACAAGTGCGTCAAATAAGGCGCATGCGAAAGAAAGTTTTCTGTTGGGCCGTAGTGAGGCAAAGCAATGGTTATTGGATTGGAGTGTTTGCTGGTTACGCCAGCCCTCACCAAAAATACTCATCTTCTCAGGTGCCGTAAAAGTCAGCAATCGGCGAACACGTTCGCGAGCTGTAGCAAATATGAAGAAAAGTGGCGTGGCAATGAGTTGTAGCTGAAATGAGGAAGAGCAATCGGGGATACGTCCAGAGGAGCTATTCGAAGAGAAAATCGGAATAATCGCACCTTCAAGAAAAAGAAACTTGCATCCTCTGGGAGCTTCGAGAGTTCATGGGATTCAATTGGGATTGTGCATCTCCCTGGAGGCACACAGCCTTGTGTTTAGTTGGTACATTCACTGCATTTTCACGGCGTTAGTATGTTTCCCAGCCGTTCGGACCATAAAAAGCCTGCTTCAGCACAACAGGATGTGAACTGGTGCTCCCCTTTTCGCACTTGCATTGGAATAGTATTCTTGCCACGACAGCGTGATGTGGTGACATGGTTGTGTCATTGTGGATACGATTTTTCTTGACTTTAACGACAGAGCAACAGAGGTGAACCCCCCCCCCCCCTTTATTTCTGCGGGCTTCGACACAATACCTGTGAAGTCGCTTATAGAAACCTTCACAATAGCAACTAGCGTCTTGACATTTTGTTGACTTTTGGCCAGAGACTGAGCCCGAGCAGTTGTCCCAATTGATTTCTTCTGTGATTGCTTGTATGCATACATGCACGCATGTATGTCCATATAAATGTTTGTGTGTGCGTGTTCTTAGATATGTATGCATATGTGTATTTATACATGTACGTATGTGTATATGCATGCGTGTATGTATGCTGACCTTTGTTGTACAGCCCTCTGGGCAACATAATTTAACGTTGTTGTTTACATTATAATTTGTTTAATGTGTGGTGGGGTGGGAATGGTGGAATGGTGTTTTGGGGTGGGAATGGTGTTTTTTCTTAGCTTAACACAATAATTGGAAAAGGCGAGAAAACGCAACGTTGCTGGAAGAATCCGATGAAACGAGAGTATAATTTTATGCACCAACTAGCTGTTTTTTGTTACGAGAACCTTACGGAAGCATACTGTTTCCGCCGGCTTGATGTCTGTTGTGGCGACTTTCGCAACAGCCTGCACCGGGCTGACGAAGGGCGGTGTCTGTTACCAAACCTTTGAGGAAATCTTTCTGGAAAGAATAGAAGGTTTCTGTCATGTAAAATAGAGCTGAATGGTGTGGATAAGTTTTGCTTTTACTTGGCCAATGGCCAGCACATTGTGTCTCTTGTGCGTTTGGTTAGGATGGGTGGTCGGGCCCAGTAGGGTGCGCCTCGCTCCAGAGAAGGTGTGACAACGGCAATTTTACTGCAACGACTGCGCTGTCTTAGTGACGTCACTGCGGATTTAACGGCCGTTGGATGGCCAAGCAGTGCACGAGAGGATGGTGCTAAGCATCGCAATCTTTCGGTCCGATGTCGCTGATTGAGGTCTCAAACCGGTGCGTGCTCTTTTCTTTACACGTCGGCTCCGTGACAACGTACCTACATTGCCAACTGCCGATTCACGCGACGGTACGTTTACGCAACCGTACGCACCGCTGCACGTCAAACCCCGAGATGACGTCATGGCAACCGTGCATTGTAGTTGGTTTACTGCATTACGCGCATACAGGCCAGCGCCCGGCCATTTAACAGGAGCCGTACGGTCACAGGCTGCTGGGTCACAGGCGCAGGGTCACAGGCTGCGGGCAGATCCTGTCGTCTGCAGCCGGAACCTTGGTGAGCAGGGAGGGGGCACGCGGAGCACTTGGTGAGCGGGGAGGGTGCACGCGGAGCACTTGGTGAGCAAGGAGGAGGCACGAGGAGCACTTGGTGAGCAGGGAGGGGGCACGTGGAGCACTTGGTGAGCAGGGAGGAGGCACGCGGAGCACTTAGTGAGCGGAGAGGAGGCACGCGGAGCACTGGGTGAGCAGGGAGGTGATACGAGGGGCACAAATGATCATTGGGGTCATCAAAGGATGATGACAGTGCTGTCATTGAAATAAAGTACCGATATGGCACAGTTGAATTTGAGAGCACCATTTTCTTCGTTCTAATATCTTTTCTGCTTTTTTTGGGTAGACGGAGACCAGAAGTCACCGGAAGATGCAGTTCTGTTAGCATTTGAAGTCAAAATGGAAGAACCGGGCGCTAAATGGCCGCGTTCAATGGACTGCCGCCGCTGTTTATTTTACAATGCACAGTGGCCTTTTCGAAAAACGACCCAATTTAGGGTTTTTTGCGGTTTTTCTGCGTTTTATACACGTATATCGAGGATCCCGTTGATAAACATTATGTATCAAAATGTGATCAAAATTTTGTGACAAGATGGCCAACTCATATTTGTGTGGAAGGTTGCTTTTAGCATTCAGTGAACAAGCTATGTGAGATAATTATAAACGGGCGCGCTGGCAAGGCATACAAAAAAAAAACCGCCTCCCGGCGTCGCAATCGCCGCAGGCGGCGCCACGTTGTCCACGCGGTCATGCTAGGTGGCGGTCCATGGTCGGAAACATGGGCGTAGGAACAGGGGGAGGGGGGGGGGGGGGAGGGGCAGGGGACAGGGAGCCATGGGCACCCAAATTTTCAAGGTGGGTGGCCAGCAATGTTAACTGGCCCCCACTTTTCAGATTAAGGTTGCATTTGTCTTACTTTTGCACTGCATCAAACACGCATGCCGATTTACCTAGTTCACCAGCCATCTTTATTAAGATGTGTCATCTTGTTCGTTTGCTCATTGGCCATCATTTATTGTTACAGCCGCAAGGCTGACGTCGCACGGGCCTGGAGACTGCAACGCCGGGCGTCGTGGCTATTATTGCTAGGACTTGAGACCACGCATGTTCAACACCACATTACGTAGTTTTCTTATCAGTAATCAGCTCTGACAAGATCTTGAGCATTATAAGACGAACATGGGCTGGACATGTTAAAGCAAATTATTAACCACATTTCATCTGCAATCTAGTCAGAGGGAACTCCATATCTCCGAAAAACACAGAAAAACATGAAACTGGAGTCTATGTGAAAACTATCGGACTGCCTGCGGTGATCAGGGATGTTGTTGCGTCAATGAGGGTCCCTGTGCTGATCCGGGGCTAACTGCTTGGATCAGAAGGCCTCCCGTGTCAGGGATGGGAACAACGTGATATGATATATCCTTCTAATGACCTCCGGATCGACCAGGAGATCCCGTCCCGTGCCACCAGAATGATGGACAGAAGAAACTTCGCGATGGGACGGAATGGCCATTCATCCCTTGACCGGGAACGGTAATGTACCCCTAATGTTCTGCTCAAGAGGCCCCTTGCCCGGAAGGGAACAAGGGGTCTCATTATTGTTGAGTAGAGTGGGGCTCTCATTATTGTTGAAAAGCACGGGTCGAAATGAATGAAAAAAACAAGCGAGGTCATGCCACGTTTGCCTGAGAACGTTCATTTCTTTCAGAATGCATTATTAAAACAAGTTACATCAAAATGCTTAAACATGCCCGCCCGCAACCTCGAGAGCAAGGACAGGGATGGCCTGGGCTGCAACTTCCGTAAAACCGATAAGTTTCGTCCACTGCAAGTGCCACCAGATGGCGGGCGCCGTGTTAATCTGTCTTCTGGATACATAAATAGCTGCGGAAACACCAGAAATAGAGATTTTGTCTTCACTCTTCCAGTTCAACCACCAGATTCCAGCCCCACTTCGCGGTGCTTTGGGGGCCAATCCGCTCTTTTCACCAATCTCAAAATTGCACGCGTGAAATATGCCCTCAGACTGTCTTCTAAATACAAGATCTGATGTCATGAAACGTTCAAGCATACTTACTGAGAAGCCTCGTCATTTTCGTCCACCCGTTGGCTACAACTTAATGTTAGCTGCTTGACCGACGTTGCGCGGCCGACGGAAACTGCAACGCCCGGGATCGAGGCTTGTATTTCTAAATTTTTCAAGTGCGCATGCTCAAAATTACGCCACATAACTTGTATAACTAGTTGGTTAATGTGTTTAAAGATAATCAGTTCAGAAGCGTCCTTTTCGTCCACCGATGGGTCACTACTAAATGTCCACTACTGGGCTAACGCTCCGAGGACTTTGGAGACTGCAACGCCTGGTTTCGAGGTTTTTGTTGCTAAGATTTGCGAGCGAGCATGTTCAAAAACACGTTACATGAATTGTATCACTAATCGATTCTGACTAAATGGTGAACATCTTCAGACAAATATGGCTTGGCGATGTTAACACGCATTGTTGACCACTCGATTTGCAATACAATTTTCGTCTCCAAATTTGGATCAAACATATCGATCTACGATCTACCTTCGCAATGTCTTCAATATCTGTAGAACCCAGATAAAAACAGATTGACAAAGCTTCTGAGTTCTGTCTGTTTAGAAAGTCAGCTAACCATTGTAAATTAAGAGCGCCGGCGATTTCTTCCATGCAGTCGATCAACGCCTGATTTCTGCAGCTTATTGACCCCAAAATGCAAACAGACTTAAGCTCACGGTAGCTCCTGGTTTCTGTTCTGGTTATAAGGTAAAAATAACAATAAAACTAAGAAAACCATGTCACTTGCTAACAAGTAAGCCATATCCAGGGTTTTTTTTGGGGGGGGGATCCCCATAAGATGAGCTTTTGTCAACCCTGTGTTCCCCCTGGAAAGGCTCTGGCTACGCCCCTGCCTACACACAAAAGCAGATCAAGTCGCGTAAGTTGCATGATGGGCAATGAAGTGTCCGTTGGGCCAATCCATACTTCAGGCAGACAGCTTCCCGGAGGCTATTTTTCTGCGGTGGTGTAGTATAAGGGAACATAATTCGGAAAAAGTACTGTTGCAGGTGTCCAACATACGTTTCATACACCATGCAGAAGTGACGCTGATCCAAAAACATGCAAAAAGTGTAGCCGCACGATCAGCTCGGAGTCAGTCATGCGGGAGACATCTGGGCCAGGGCAATGACCGCCGACGGCGGACAGGAGCAGGGCCCAGATAAGGAATATATGACAGATGGGCCTTATTATGTGGCTTGATTCTTAAAAGATAATCTCCAGTTTTATGGATTTTGCCACATTGTTTCTAGCAGTTCCAAGCTGCCGAATTTGTTTCCGCCTAAAATGCTGCACCGAGTCTTATTTCTTGAAAAGCAGCCAGCGACATGAAGGCGCATGAAAAGCCTGGCGCAATGTGAGACATCAATCCACTTTAAAAATTATCACCAGCCTAAATCCATGCCTTATTTTGGCATCTACACTGTAGAGGCAAATGCTTCCTTAATGACCTAAAATACCTACCTGCTCGTGGAATTTCGTCTCCCGGGAAAGACAATGTTAAAATGGACAAATAATCTAGGGAAGCTGGATAGCCTTATTTGCCAAATGACAGATGCGTCGAACAGGCAGGGTTGAGCACCAGTGATAAACAGCTCTATATGCATATCTAGCAAAGCAGCCATGACATTTGAATAAAGGGCGATAACAGCCTCTATCCCTACCCCCCTCCCCTGGTCATCGGGCTCGCTTTCCAGAAAAAATTCCTTAAGTACACACTGAGCTTGCCCCGCCCCCACTTTGTGAAACGTTCCTACGCCTATGGTCGGAGAAAAACGATGGGGAAAAGGGATCTGAGTAACTGGAAAAAAAGTATCTGAAAAAAGATACTCGTAAACGCTGTAGGGCATCGATCCGTACGTAAAGAGGGTATTCCGGGCGTAAGGTACGCCTCAAATTTCGGGTGTGGCCTCAGATTGATGGCAGCAACGGATTAGCATTTACAGCATCGCAAATAAGAGCTGAGGAGCTGAACGCGGTGTTGGGCCAGGAACTGGAAAAGCAAAGTTGAAACCTCTATTTTCTTGTGTTGCTGCAAGTGTCAATCTGTTCAGAACACAGCCTCAAATTTGTCCAGGTGAAATTGTATAAGTAAAATCTTTGAGCACTGCCAACTGATTTCGAAATTCTTCCGCAAGAATAATTTTACACCGGTCGTTCTCTCACACCCGGCGTTCTTCACCTGGTGTTGCCTGCAGTTGCCATCTCCGCTCAGTTTGACGGAGACTGCACTCCCGATCGCGGGTGCTCTTGCCCCGACATAACGAGCGCGCTGGCTCCAAATCCTGGAATGTTATTCGCTTCGCTAGTCTGTCATTTAATAGTATGGACATTCTCGGGCAAATAAGGGACGTCCTCTGCTACTTTTGACCTCATTTCTGCCCACCCTATTGACCACTGAGGAGTTCCCTTGCCTTCGTCTGGCAGGGGGTTTCGTGGGTAGAGCACGAGAGAGTGCATTTGTTTTCCCTGTCAGGGCTGAAGGGATACCCATCCCAGCCCGGGGTAACCACCGGCTACCATCCTGGGGGCACAAACAGGCTTAACCTGGTCATCTGGATGCCCTCAGAGGGATGCGTGATACATTGGTCCACTCCCTAACGTGGGAGGTCTTCCAGCTCGCGAAGGTGACCCCGGATCGACGAAGGAACCTTTATTGGCGCAAAAGATCCCTTCTCGCCACATGGGCCCAATAACTGACACGGCAGCTGCAGTTCGGCTTGACCAATCCCTAGCTGAATTGGGTGGAGGGTCCATTTAGTACAGGAGTCGCTAACTGGCACGGGTCATTTTCACTGCCTCATTGTGGGCTCTCATGACCAGTGCTCACATTTCCCTTCAATCTCATAGGACCCAGACCAACGCGCGAGGCCCTCTGGCTGACTGTTCAGTTGGCCGACTCGGGGTTTCTTGCAGACCCAGAAACCCTTGTAAGGCACAGTGGGCCCTGGCCGCTCATTGGTGATTCTTAGTGTTTTAGAGGTCCCCACCAGTGCACATATCGAACACCGGCCTTGTCCCTGCTTAGGAAATGTCCCTCAAGGGTCAGATCGACACGGAGCCGACTGTTCGGTACTGGTGGCGCATGATCGACATAGAGGCTCTCATTGTCGGTCCCTGCAAAACCTTCGGACCACTTACCGTCATGAATGATCGTGACCAACACAGAGAGCTCCATTCCAAACAACCAAACCGTTCGACGAGGGCGCCACCTTCCGAATGCAGAGGTCCTGTAGATGACGCCTGTCTTGTAGAGGGCGCCACCTTCCGAATGTGGCAGGTCCTGTAGATGGCGTCTGTCTCATAGAGGGTGCCGTCGGACGAACGCTGCCGGAGAAAGACCGCTTAGCAAACTGCCTGAATATGGTAACAGGGTGCAGCAACCATAACGGAAAGCACATTCCATCGCGGAATTAAGCTGGGGACACACGGACTAACTGGGGACCCGTTTCATAGCGGGGAGCGGTAGTGGCCTAGGCATTCCAGCAATTACGATTCGATTGCTTATCCCAAACACCAACCCCGTGGACCCTGACTGCACCCCCACCCCACCTCTACCTACCCACCCCCACCCCCACCCCACCCCCACTCTAACTAACCCTTCCATCACCTTTCTTGCAGCTCATAAACCAATGTACGCCCTCCGCCAGCCAGCTGGTGGTGCTTCAGAGCTACAGAGAACGGTTTCGGGATTGGGTAACAGGGCGGGAACACAGCAGGCCGGCACCGAGGCCAAACGGCACCAATACTGGCCAAGCAGCTGATATCAAACCAAACTCATGTTACTTACCGAGAACGGCTTGAGTGACTTCATTCATCTCCAATGCATACTTGATGTGCGCCTGTTTTGTAGCTTCAAAGTGTTTCAGCATTTCCAATGAAATCATTTATTTCTGCCACAAAAAGGTAAAATAAGTTATTACAAGACCTCTTCAAGTCTCTCGCAACGCCTTTGGAGTTCACGGTGTAGCTAGTCAGCTCGGAAAGCTAGTCAGTAACAAAAAATAGCCAAAACTGGTCTACATTGCAGATAATTCTGGTGATCAGGGCAACTAACCACAATCCAGAGCTGACGTCGCCTTTCTTGACCCAACCGTCTAATCAAACAGTAGTTCTTTCGTTCCAACTGAATTTTTAAAGGTTTAATCCGAACTTTTTGAATGGATGGATTTCTGGGATCAGAGCTCACACTGCACAACGCTTGTTGTATGCAAAGTACTCACGTTCACACTAAGCAGTGCCTTGATATGCTCTCACATTTCATGCGATGTATGGCGATTTTATCGTGTTTTATTCTTGAATTTCATTTTATAACTTAATTCTATAGCTATTTCAGTTATTCCTTATTTTTACGTGACGCTCATTGCAGCTGGCCAAGGCGCAAAAGCGGTGACTTGAGCAAGTCCGCTCGCTCCCACTTCGCGAGTTACCCCGTTCCTGTCGCATGGCTCTGAGTTGCATTTGATAGCGTTCGCCCCATTCGACCCGCTTGCTGGCAGGACGTTTCGTGCCGGTTCGCTGGCTACAAGCAAACTTCTGCTAAGCGGCACGCTGGAGCAGTTTGTCACGTGTCAGGCGGCCGGCGCAGCGCAGAAGGACAGGCGCCCCGGCGGCGGCACCCTGCATCACTACACTCTTGAACCCCGACCAGGCGTCAGGTAGCGAGACATTCTCCTTCTTCCGTCTCATTCAGCCGCACGCACAGTCTCTTCCCACAAAAAGCTCGGTTCTAGCTATTCATTTATTGCTGCCGGACAACACTACAGTCGTCCTCCACACCAGTGGCGTACCCTGGCGGCAAGTACAAAGATTCCACCGGAACGCAGCAGAAAGGACAGGAGGACGGGGGGGGGGGGGCTTGAGGGGAAAACCATCCGTTCGTTAGCACGTGACGGGCCCGAGGCAGGCAGCGACATCACAGGACCTCACCGGATGGCTGGTCCCAGCGTGTGAACCAGCACAGACACCCAGCGCTTGGACATTACACACAACGGGCCGGTCGCGTCACGCCGCACGACGCGCCGGAGCAATTTCTGCTCGCAATCCGTCAACTAGCGGAATGCTCGCCGCCAAGCCAATGCTTCAGACTCATCAGAGGACGTTAGCAGCAGACGTCACGCGCTTAGCTCTGCCATGCACACGATTTCATCGTTCGGCGCGCCGTCGGACTTCAGCGCCAGGCGGTCGCTTGTCATCTGACACACAACCGGATCAGGTACGCGCATGGGGGAGCGACACGGTTCGCGGGTGCTGCGGTGCGCGACAAGGCTTCTGATACGCCACCTGGCGTCAGTGAGGACATGATATGTACCAAAAACAGCTAATTCGGCACGCATAAGTATATGTAAAGCAGCAGTGCGACTACCCCGTGGGACAATGTCCACCGCTATTGCTCAAAAGACCCAGTTGTCATCAAAACCGGTGTCTTTCTCCAAGAGGGTGAGAGGCGACGAGAAGTTCATTCCAGCCTTTGTTAGCTACACCTTTAACCTTAAAGCAGTGACTGGCAAAATTACAGCTGTAAAGTGCATGTTTGATCGAGTTTCACAGCATCAATGCCACGAAACAGAATGTTATGACTTGTTGCTTCTCATTTTACACAAAAATTCATGCCACCATCTTTTTGGGCACAGCGGTGCAGGACTGAAAATTAATGAAAGTGGAGGTCTACGTAATGACTCATTGAATTAGAGCAGTTTAAAGCTATGCATACGTAAAATAAATAACCTGTGAATAAATACATTGAACGTTTCTGACGCAAATGTGGAAATAAAATGCGGTCGAAAAATTTAGCGTTGCAGTTCACTTGACGAAACCTGCATGAAGATTTCTGTCAAGAAGTGTTTAGTCTCACGCGTTGTTATGCAGGAATCTTCCTATGAGGAAAAAACGCTTCAGATTCTTAACCCTCAGGCAGTGACCACACTAGCGTTGATAAGGCACCGTTTGTGCTTAGTCCGATCTAACCGATTGAAAAAATCCTATATCTGTCGGCGACGTGGCCATTCGCACAATAGTTCCTTCATCACGCAATAAATGGCTCGTGGGATAACACAGCTCCTAAGAATCCGACCATACATGGCACGTTCTGGCTATACGGTAGGTGCGACAGGTGGGCTTACATCCGTTATGTTAGTTTAACATGCGATCGAGCAGGGAGCACATGCACACACACAGTCAAGGGATTATGTGCGCACCGACTCAGCCCGAAACTACAGCTGGACGAAAGTGCAAGTGCACGTGGAAATGCTGAGGCTTTTATCGAGCAATTTAGGAGCCATTTCAACTGATACACGCGTATGGGTGTGGTTCATAACGCATCGCACTCAGTCGCTAAGGCACGTTCACGAAATAGCTCGTCGATTTCAGTGCATGCACCGACACAATGGAAATTACAGCTTCTAAAAAACCGAGCACGTTTTGGAGCAGGATATCATCAAATCAAAGTAAAACAGCACAGAAGCCAGCTTGACGTGGCAGCGCTGTAGTAGATAAGGCAGCACGCTCACCACCCACGATAACGCACCATCGCTCGGGCGGGGAACGGCACTCCGCTGTCGACCGAAGCACTGGAGCTGCGCCCAGCAGCCGCCGCGTTCCAGCCCACCCGGGCGGCGCGCGCACGCCTGGCGCATGTTGCGGCGGCCACGCTCTGCGCCGCAAGCAGGGGAGTTCGAGTTCGTTCTACGCCGGGCTGGCCGGTGCTCCCTCCGTCGCCGGGGTCCGTTTGTACCCGCGTTGCACAGCCTATGGAGGGAGCCGCTGTTTCCGGTTGGGCTGGGAGAAAACCAGTTTCTTCCAGACGCGAGACCAGCTCGACCAATCAGCGCGCTCCCCCCGTTCAAACACTTCACCACTGCGCTGGCGCGGTAGAGACATCTAACGACGCCCGCGCAAGGCTAGAGTTCAGCACATCGCCGTCCGTCAGTACACGTATATCCGCTTGAGTTGCGCTTTACAGTGTTCTGGGATAGTGCAGCCGTGGATCTCTATCTGTTTGTGCAGCAGCGACCTCTTGACGTGCCTAGTCATGATCTTGAGCCGGCCCTTCCACAGCTTCAGTCCTCGGTTGGGTGGAATGTAGACAAACTGAAACAGAAAGGAGGGCTAGCACAACGGTCCCAGCACTGGACGGCGGCCACAAAGGCCTCTGAAGATGGAAAACACCACGTCTCCAAGTGCTCGAAAATTTACGGGAAACGCTGGCTTGAGAGAACTGGCGGAGAGCCGATAGTACCGAATCAACTGTCATCCTACGTTTAATTCTGCATTTTTAAGCTTCTCCCCTCCCAAAATCAGTAACAGTCGGATGACGGTGTTCGAAGTTCTGTTGTGCACCGCTACACCTGTGGGCTGCATCGCTCCATTATGCACGATACGGCTTGGCATCGGGAACAGTTTACTACATTGGACTGCACATATCCGTACATGCACACGCCTTGGCGGCTTTTAACGAATCCGTCCTAATGGGTGAATTCAAGTGGAGGCGAGGGAACGTCAGAAGTGGACATGGATGGAGAGCATAAATACAATGTAGGTTGAAGAGGTCTGAGAGAGATCGCACAGAGCAAAGCTGTTCAGCAACGAGGAAGTAAAACGCTACACACTGTTATTCAACGGGCACGCAATGAAAAGGCATCCTCTGCACCGAGAGGCCGATCATCCACGACAAATACGGGATAAAGAGGCTGTCGGTGGTCCCGTGATGCTGTTTCGGTCCTCATCTCGCGCGTGCCTCAAGGGCCGGCAGCGGCGAACGCGGCGCAGCAGTGACAGCTAGCACCCTGGCCAGGGTCATGGCTGGGTGCGCTGTCCACCCGCACTGGTCTGGGTGCCGCATCGCGTTGTGAAGCAGCATGCGAAGCGGCACGTAGTACCGACGCTCCGCTCCAGCACGGCTGTCGACGCAGACCCTGTCCGCCGCGGCACCGCGGGACGCTGCAGTGCTCGACGGCTGCCGGTGTCAGGCGGGGCAGCCTCACCTGGAGGAAGGGGTCGTGCAGGTCGTCGAGCGGACTCGGCTCGCCGTCGTAGTCGTCCACCATGCCCTTGCCGGGCTTGACGCGCTTCAGTCGGATGCCCTTGCCGTCCTCGGCCGACGCCGGTAGCCGGGCGCCACGACGCCGCATCCTCCTGCCGGTCATGGAGAGGGAGGTGTTAGTGGCGGTCGTCCTCCTACCCTTCGCAGAGGAGGGTGGTGTTAGTGGTGGTCAGCCGCCTACCGGTCGCAGAGAGGGAGATATTAGTGGTGGTCATCCTCCTGTCGGGCGCGGAGAGGGAGGTGCCAGTGGTGGTCATCCTCCTGCCGGTCGCAGAGAGGGAGGTGTCAGTGGTGGTCATCTTCCTGCCGGTCGCAGAGAGGGAGGTGTCAGTGGTGGTCATCTTCCTGCCGGTCGCAGAGGGGGAGGTGTCAGTGGTGGTCATCTTCCTGCCGGTCGCAGAGAGGGAGGTGTCAGTGGTGGTCATCTTCCTGCCGGTCGCAGAGAGGGAGGTGTCAGTGGCGGTCATCCTCCTGCCGGTCGCGGGGAGGGAGGTGTTAGAGGTGGTCATCCTCCTGCCGGGCGCAGAGAGGGAGGTGTCAGTGGTGGTCATCTTCCTGCCGGTCGCAGGGAGGGAGGTGTTAGAGGTGGTCATCCTCCTGCCGGGCGCAGAGAGGGAGGTGTCAGTGGTGGTCATCTTCCTGCCGGTCGCAGGGAGGGAGGTGTTAGAGGTGGTCATCCTCCTGCCGGGCGCAGAGAGGGAGGTGTCAGTGGTGGTCATCTTCCTGCCGGTCGCAGGGAGGGAGGTGTTAGAGGTGGTCATCCTCCTGCCGGGCGCAGAGAGGGAGGTGTCAGTGGTGGTCATCTTCCTGCCGGTCGCAGGGAGGAAGGTGTTAGAGGTGGTCATCCTCCTGCCGGGCGCAGAGAGGGAGGTGTCAGTGGTGGTCATCTTCCTGCCGGTCGCAGGGAGGGAGGTGTTAGAGGTGGTCATCCTCCTGCCGGGCGCAGAGAGGGAGGTGTCAGTGGTGGTCATCTTCCTGCCGGTCGCAGAGAGGGAGGTGTCAGTGGTGGTCATCTTCCTGCCGGTCGCAGGGAGGGAGGTGTTAGAGGTGGTCATCCTCCTGCCGGGCGCAGAGAGGGAGGTGCCAGTGGTGGTCATCTTCCTGCCGGTCGCAGAGAGGGAGGTGTCAGTGGTGGTCATCTTCCTACCGGGCGCAGAGAGGGAGGTGTCAGTGGTGGTCATCTTCCTGCCGGTCGCAGAGAGGGAGGTGTCAGTGGTGGTCATCTTCCTGCCGGGCGCAGAGAGGGAGGTGTCAGTGGTGGTCATCTTCCTGCCGGGCGCAGAGAGGGAGGTGTTAGTGGTGGTCATCCTCCTGCCTGCCACGGAGAGCTTACACCCCCGGCCTCCTGTCATGGGGATAGGGAAGATCTGAATCTCTGAGCGAGCGAGGAGGCTTTCTTCCGTACCTTAGATTTTACAAGCTTTTGGAGATACAAGTTTCGGTGTTGCACGTAGAAATTTGCAGGCGCTTCGGTAAAAAAGAGACATTACACTGGCTCCAGTCAGCGATATCCGACCCTATGCATAGGACAATTTTCTGGACGTTCATCCACGTATCGATAGCCCTGTGGCATCAGGGATACTGCACGGTAATTGCTGCAAGCGTCATGGTGAGTGCATGCAGCCAACTGACGTCATGAGATAGGCGTTTCCCTTCCGGCAGCTGTAGGCGGTCACTTAAATAAAATGACAAACAAAAAGGAAAACAAACAGATGACGGCCTTTTCACTGCTTAAGCACGAGCTGACTGAAAAACAAGCCCCAAGCAAGAGTCCCGTTTTTCAAGATATAGATACGCTGAATCTTCAGCTTGTACGTACACAATCGCAGAAAAACGTGCTTTGCCATCAGGTTCTGCACCGCACACGCCTAACGGTTCCACCTGGACAAAGGGACACACCTCGAGACACGACCGTTCGCCTCCGAGAGAACACAAACAGGCGGACGCTGTCAAAGGGCCGCGGTCCAGGAAGTGGCGACAGCACCGGTCCGCTGGAGGGTGGGGTCGGCGCCTGCAGACCGGGCTGAGGCACGGGCCCGGCCTCGCCCGAGTCCGAAGGTGAGCTGGTGCCAGCCCACTCGTGGGTGAGGTCTTACAGCGCCCCTCAGGAAGGAGCGGGAGGGGGGAGGGGCGCTGGGCGAGCGGCGGTCCCCATCCGCCCGGCCTGGGGACGGGGACGGGCTGGGTGGCTGGGCGAACCAGGTCGGGTCAGCAGGGGTACGTTCGGAGTGGCCCGGCTGCAAACGGACGAGATCTGTCTGCGAGGGAGGGGAGGGCAGTTGATTGGTCAGAGATCTGTCTGCAAGGGAGTAGGGGGTAACTGATTGGTCCGAGATCTGTGTGCGGGGGCGTAGAAGGTGGTTGATTGATCCGAAATCTGTCTGCGAGAGAGAACGGGAGTGATTGATTGGTCCGAGATCTGTGTGCAGGGGAGTAGGAGGTGGTTGACTGGTCCGGAAAGTCAGTCGGATGAGGATTGTGTCTGAGAGACGGAATATACCTCTCAAGCTGTTAGACAGGGCGCAATGCTCCTTTTTCAGAATGCGTACATGTGTCTTATAGACCTCTCGAGCTGTTAGACAGGGGGCAATACTCCTCTTTCAGGATGCGTACGTGTGTCTAATAGAAATATCGAGCTGTTAGACAGGGCGCAGGCTTCTCTTTCAGGATGCGTACGTGTGTCTAATAGACCTCCCGAGCTGTTAGACAGGGCGCAGTACTTCTCTTTCAGGATGCATACGTGTGTCTAATGGCAGAAAACCAGGTTCATGGGCTGTCTCCAGGTGAAACATAATTCTGGGAGTGAGAGCCACCTCGGAACGACGCGGATGAGTATGGAAGGAAAGCTTTTCTTAAGCGCTCTTGGAAGCTGAAACCATGCTGATGCGCAAGAAAGAAAAGCAAGTCCGCAGGAAAGAACAAGGCCGATCTGAGCCTCCAGAAACAATTTTTTAAAATTTGATTCTCCAATCTTTTTTTGATTTGAATCTCCAATCAAACAATTCCTTGAGTGCCAAGCTGGAACCGCTTGAGCAGTTTCTGCTTTCAAACTCAGCACCCATCAACACCAGACAACAAGCGATGCTGGACAAACGCGCGACAGGCTGCCCCGGTTACGCCAGGTCAGAACCACGGCCGGCTCGTGCCAGTCCCCCCCTCCCCCCCCCCCCCAGTTACCGGTGCTAGTTTTTGCGCCGAAGGCGGTGCGGCTACTCGCCACTGGACCGTTCTGTCTCGAGTAACGAGCTGTCTCATCGGTTTGGCTGTAAGAGTGCCGCATCTACCGACTGCCGGCTACAGAGTAGCGTCGTGTCCGGCAGATTCCGAATTCAGCCACGAGGTCGGTACCGCCATCTCCCGACGGGACTCGTCGGAGTCCTGCAGGGTTGCCCTCCACGTCCATCACCGCGTCCTGCTGGCGCTTTCACCTGGCGCACGACGGTAACGAACCCAACAGACCGGGCCGGCGCCGCGTCTGCTATCTGCGTGTTTTATGTGACGATCTCTTCGACGCGCGTCACACGGGCACCTGTGTCGTAACGACCCCACCGCCAGGCGGTGCTCCCGACATTCGCGATGTCGCGCCGGGGGTCCGCGTCGACTCTTCCGATTCTTTCTTTTGTTGGCGCGCCGGCCGTTCTTTCCGCGCCATTTTGCAATCCAAGCTGTTATACGGCCGTCGGCCGACCGGAAATGAAGGGAAAACGCGGCGAAGCATTACCGCCGCTCAAAAGTCCAGCCGAATCGACATATGTGAGGCGGAGATTTGTAAGCCTGTGACTGATAGCATCGGAGTCGGGATGGAAAGGAGGCTCTGATTTTAAAAGCGCCCGTATGTCCCGGGGGATCAATAGATACAACAGCCCGTTACGGGATGATAGCGAAGTCTTTCAGCCGAACCGCTGCATCATCAGAAAAAAGGATCGGGCGCGATTTCTCTGTAATCGCTGATTTCTCCCAATTTCTGGATTTTCCAGCAGCGTCTAAAGACAACACCGGCAGGATGTCGGCCCATGCCCAAACGAATGGCAGATCGCAACTGAGCGCCAAACAGCAGTGACGTCACCTACCTCATCACATCTGAGCGCGAAACAGCAGTGACGTCACCCACCTCATGACATCTGGGCGCGAGACAGCAGTGACGTCACCCACCTTATGACAGCAGCGCAGACGATGACGATGAGGATGGCCAGCAGGAGAGCCACGACGATTCCCACGATAATGGAAATCTTCTCCTGCCCCTCTGCCGGTCAAGAGGGTCAGTGTCACTTCGTCTTGCGGCACCTCAGCTTATGACATCACAGCATATCACATATGACGTCACGGTACGTTGTGGTGTCTTGCAGTTTCGGTCCGACAGTCCGGGACATTGGTTCGGCTTATCGGGTTTCACCCGTCCAATACTATACCACCACGAGCGGATATTCCTTTAAGTGTTACATCGAACCGGCGCACTTCAAAATGGAACGGGGTAACTGCCTCCTCATAATGTTTGCGACTCAGGCAGCGGTCAGCATTAGAAACAAGCTTTTTGAACCAGTGCTAAACTGAACTAGTTCACTAGTGAACTAAATGCACCACATGACACAACCACCTTCATGGGGATTCCGCTACGAGCCATGGAGAAAGTCGTGGAAGGGAAAGAGGGCTGTCAGTGCCTCCATTCACAAAACCTTCCTTTGCATGATAAACGCCGCACATGCTTTCATTACCATTAGCCTGACTTACAACTCGAGCTGATCTATTATCCTGACTGAACACATCCCTCAGCCTGGTTTATGATCTTGTTGGACACGGAAGCAGGTGGGACCTGAACCTCATAATATATTCACTTTCGATTGTTGACCGCATTGTGTATTTCATTACGGGGCAGCTGCTGAGTGCCGGCTTATAACGGCGACGACCTCTTTGTTGGCGTCGATGAGGAGCCGAGCTACATCACTAGCGAAGCAAGTACGCTGATGCGGGATGGTGAAATGCAATTTAAAAGTGGGAAAAACAAATGAGGCGCACATAAATAACACGCGGGCGCGTCGCACATACTAATTTGTGTCCCCAAATACCCGTGCCACTAGATAACCACAAGCCAGCGCCACAAGAAACTCCACAGGAATGAGGACGCGAGCTATTTGGTAGAAACTACTCGCACGCTAGTTTGGCCAAGCATTTACATGAATTAACGATCATAAAGCAATCATCTTAATAGACGGTTCGCGTAACTCAGTTGACTGGAGCGCCTGACTTCGGATTTTCTCGACCGTTGGGTTGGGGATGCGGGTGAGGGGGGGGGGGGTGGGGGTCGGTGGCACTCACTGTTTACCCCTGCCTGGGAGGGACTGCGGCCGGTGGTAGTGACCGCGCTTGGGGTCACGTGACGTCACAGGATGGAAGTGACCGAGCCAAGCATTGGGGCAGATTATAGCTTCGCTGCAGAATTATGCGATTGACCTGGAGTTTCACCATCGGATTGTGCTGTCAGGGTTCGCACGATATAAACTGCTTAATGCGATCTTTAGTCCCAGGACTTCATCCAACCTAGCGGCCCGAAATTCTATTTCAAAACTACACTTGAGTTGAATGGCGAGGCATTCTTTAGAAGACAACATGGGATAAGGAGGAAAGACACAAGGATTCGGCAAGCTGTCTTCAAATCTAAGACGGGCCCGATGCGTTTGGTCTTACCTTCTTCTTTGCCGAGCTCATCGTATTCGTGTTCTGAAACAGAGAAAGTGTTCAGATGAGCATCATTGGGATAAGGCATTAAGGTATCACATAAGGCATTAAACGCTCGATGCGCGAATCGCCATTGTTGAAAGGAAAAAATACACGAAAGGCAAATCAAGAAGGGACCAAAGACTGGCGAACTTCGGGAGATCAGGTGGACACTTCCGTGGGACTTGTGTGTAATATGGACACACAAAGCTGTATCTGCAGCTGCAGCACGTCATGAAGGTAACATTCCGAATGCAAGATAGCGGTCGCGTTTCGCTATCTTTCTCGTACGTTTCTGTCGCAGGGACAATCTACAGATTTCACAGAATTGTCGACACATGGCTATGAGCAAAGCCTATCTGAGTGACAACGAACGCCCGAAAGCCCACTCACGATGTTATAAGTCACGGAGTCGAAAGTCATGTCCAGGGGACAACATCAGGTCTTTTTCGTATGGAAAAGAGGCGCACTTCAGCGCGAGGGCAGGTTAAACATCGAAGCAAGGGAGAGGGGGGGGGGAGAGGCAAGTTCGGAATGTTGTACAGTTATATGGAAACTAAGCCGAATGATACGGACGTTCAGCGTTTTTTGTTCTACACCTTTGGCAAGTCTTTCTGGCGTCTTGGATTTGCCAGTATTTTTCACCTTAGGGCCTGTTTTTGCCGTCTTGCGGTCGCATGTACTTTTCAACCCACAGACCTGTTCTGCTGTCTTCGCTTCGTCAGTATTTGAGGCAGCTTCGAGACACTTTGCAGTCCCTTTCGGCTATTTTTGCTAAACACAATAACAAGTATCATTGAAAGCCAATCAGTCCACGCATTAATAATGATTGCTTCACGCCTCTGGCGACACAACCTTATCGAGTTACATTAAGATTTCTTACTCAAGATGACAGCGGGGACAAATTTTACATGCCTGGCACTGCCCGACGCTGCTAGAAATTTCCAAGCATTAGCGCATTTCGTGCAGAAATGCTTCTTTTCGGGAAGTCACTCCGTGCAGTAATCCTTCGTGAAGGCGACTATTACGTATCATTTCACTGGTGACGTAAACAAGGGAAAACCAAACAGCCCGACCATACGGAAGACAACCTACAGACCTTGCCTGCATCACGACACGAAGGCATGAGGCTGCCAAGAATCGAATCTTATCTCGGTGTCGCTCCGAAGCATGACCGTATAATCTGGCAGGCAAGATCAGTGGCAGCCCACGTGACACGCGAGAGGCTCCTATCAAGGTCACGCGCTCCTTATGTTTACGCGCAGCAGCTGGCGAAACGCTCATCACGCGCAAAGTGACGTCAGAGAGTGAACGAAAGAAGAATCGAACGCATGCGCAATATGCGCATTGATGTGCTTTGGAGGGATTGGCCAGAGCGGTCTGTGCGAAACACATGTGCATCATAGCTGACGAGTACGGTACACTGGCATTCGGTCTATCCTTGACATGCAAGCAGGTGCGTTAAATTTCACAAACCAGACGCGTTAGACAGCAGTTTATATGACTGAGGTTTGGATGTTCTTTTGAATATCGGTTTGTGGATGATTTGCACCCTTAGACAGTTTTTTTAATATTTTTCGAGCTTGTGCAATTGACTTTAAAACACAGAAACACCTTGCCCCCTCACCCCCGCCAGGATCAACTGCAAATCATTCGAGCACAGTCGAGCAATTCAGACACAAGGGTTGCTGAAAGCGCCTAGCCACAAGTCCAAGCACACATGAGCAGTGACAGTGGGCAGTGTCCACAACCAAAATTGCGTATCAAAACCGGAGGTGACACACCACAGGGCCAAGTTTCCACATCTTTGGGACAGCACTTCAAGTTTGAGTTTCACTAATTCTACACGTTTCCTGACTTGCTCTGCTGCGTGCTTACAGGGACAGACTCAAGGGGAGGCAGAGACGAGGCCGAACTAGACTAGCCCAAATGCTGCGTTTGTTTCGACTACCAACGATAGTGCAAACAAACACACTTCGCTCTCGTCGATTTCATTCTCAAGTACTTCGCTAACATTCCGAACATGCCCCTCAACCCAGGCGCAATGCTGAGAGGGGGGGGGGACACCGAGCTCCGGCACGTCCGCTACGCCTGCGCCTGCTCCTCACCTGACGTCTCGTTAGTGACGCGGTGCAGGTATGGCTCCAACGTCGGCGAGTCGCCAATTATCTCTTCCTCGTGGGTCTCGAGGCCAGAGTTGGCGCGCGGGGCCATGATCGGCGCCAAAACTGCCGGGCAGAACACACACAAGGTCATCGCGCGCCGGGCAGAACACACGCAAGGTCATCGCGCCGGGCAGAACACACACAAGGTCATCACGCGCGGCAGGGCGGAGCGCCGAACCGACGATGGTCAAAATGCGTGCACGTGGTCAAAATGGGACACAAGATCAGGAGGGACAATGGTCAAACTGGACGCGTCAAAAGCGATTTGGAGTGTGTCTCCGCCTTTCCAACGTTTACCATTCGGTAGGACGCGCCAACTGCACGCATCCGACTGTGTGTTGGCCCGCCCAGATTCGGTCTCAGGGTGGCTCGACCTGGCTGTCCGGGGTTCAACAGGTGAATAGATAACCTCAGCGGTGCCCGCCGACCCAACGGTCACGCAATTGGCCGCAGATAACGGTTTGGCGCGTCGAGAACACGGGCGCCCAGCGCCGGCGCACGGGACGTGGCATGTCCAGCGTCACGAGCGTCAGGCTGGGAGGTGGGTGTGCCGGGATCTAGTGCACAAGACGTGGGATATCCAGCGTCACGAGCGTCAGGCTGGGGGAGGGGGTGTGCCGGGCTCTGGCGCACAAGACGTGGGATATCCAGCGTCACGGGCGTCAGGCTGGGGGAGGGGGTGTGCCGGGATCTAGTGCACAAGACGATGGGTGTTCAGCGCCACGAGCGTCGGGTTGGAGGGGAGCGTGAGGCGCTGGCGCACAAGACGAGGGGCTTCGTGTCACGAGCGTTGGGTTGGGGGGGGGGATGGATGGGCCAGGCGCTGGTGCACGAGACGAGGTGTGTCGTATCACGAGCGTCAGGCTGGGAGAAGGGTGCGCCAGGCGCTGGCGCACACGGCGAGGGGTGTCTTGCGTCACGAGCGTTACACTGGAGGGGTGTGCCCGACGCTGCCTGGACGCTGAAGGGTGCAGGGAATCAAATAAGGGTATTCGCCATCCTCGTGCGGGGCTTTGCCGCGCTGCGCAGGGCTGTGTTGTACTGCGCTGGGCTGTACTACACTGCGCGGGGCTGTACTGTACTGCGCGGAGCTGTGCTGTACTGCGCGGGGCTGTGCTGTACTGCGCGGGGCTGTGCTGTACTGCGCGGGGCTGTACTGTACTGCGCGGGGCTGTGCTGTACTGCACGGGGCTGTGCCGTACTGCGCAGGGCTGTGCTGTACTGCGCGGGGCTGTGCTGTACTGCGCGGGGCTGTGGTGTGAGCACGTGAGCTTCACGTTACCATGGCTAGTAAGGAGACTGACCAATACGCTCGCTTGATTCACCGTCTGGTCGATCGATGATGACCAATAACGCAAGCTGCATCTTGATGATCTGCACGAGGCTGACTTTGAAATGACAGGTTAAAAAGGTAGGCTTCATTTCGTGCTGTTTTTATGGCCGGCATCGATTCGAGATATGAACATAAGAAAACAACAACTGTATTGAAAACCACATCAGCAACTGCACTTCATAAGCCTTTAAGTGCAATACATATGCTCAAATGCCTTGCAGAACTAGGTCATGACCTGATCCTGTATCTCTTGAATGCCTAGTTAGACAATCAACGGAATCAGACGCCCCTGCATTATAATTCCCGGGCTATGCATCCCGGCATATATGCTTGATAAGTATCCCTGTTTTAGGTTCCTACTGCGCCTGTCTTGCGAGATGATCGCGTTTATGGCATTACACCATGCTGTGCTGATGCGGTGGCTTCATGCATTTCCACTAATCACAAAAAGTTTAGGATCTTTTTGTGGGATACCGGCGGCAATAAAGACGTGTTTACAGCACGTGGTTCAGCAGTAATGGATGTTTGTTGTTTCATCTTCTGCGAGCAACTGAAGCAAAAAAAAAGAAGAAAACAAGTGATCTGACCGTGACCTGCATATGCAGCAACACCCCAACATTCCCTGCCAATAATAAGAGCTTACATAAGACCGCATGAGGTGAATGCCTTTGCCTTATGAAACTAATGCTTTTGTCCCATGGAAGCCGGTGCTGGAGACCAGTGACGTCATCCATGCGTCCTTGACTCATATACGGGTCCATGAATGGCTCAGACATGCGCCAGCACTCTGATATTGTGCAGCCAGACCATGTGTTCAGGTTTCACACTTTACAATAGACCTTTTCGTAACAGATCATTTCAGAGAGAACAAAACGCCTCCAAATCGAATGCGTGTGCTGTTTGGTGGTTTGACCTAGAAGTTTTGAAACCACTGGATTCTAAAATGGTTAGCAAACACCTCCATTCAGACATCACAGTATTTTGCGGTGGCTTTCTTTTAAAAACAATCTTCGTGAACCAGACAGACACACGTAAAAAGGTCATCATTTTTGGCTGAGCCGAAAATTATGTCCTAACCTACCCTTCACCTAACATATCCCTCAAACCTCAATTCTACTCAGATTTCAGTGCCTTGAATTTGCGTTCTCAATGTAAAACAACGTTCTGAAATATTTTGTGGATTAAATTTTTCCCTGCGGAGAAATAGTTGAAATAACTGCTCCGCATTTATTTTGCCCGGTATTCCCTCATTGCCCGTCTCGTTGAGGCACTCAGATCAGCATCAGGGGAGGGAGCTCAAGCCTCTCGAAAGTACATACAGTGACGCCGCTGCCACTGCCACTGGTTCAGTTGCGATGTTTCGATAATTCGACACTCGAGCACGGCTTGCAATATCAGTGCAGCTTTGATTTCCCAAGACGCCACACGCTCGAGGTAACGGCTTTTGCGCCGCAGTACTTCGGAGAACGGTCGGTGAACTCGGAAAACCACACCGAAAATTTTCTCACATGTTTTTCTACAGGCCCTTGTCTAAGCCGATCTCCACTTGACGACCGTCACGGCCGTTGGCCCACCCTAACCACAGTCTCCGCTCTGTCTCCGCAGGGCGATTGGCTGAGTACACCAGGACGTGTCCCCGCGATTAAAATGACCTCCATCTCCGGCAAAGTCCTGCTTTGTCAGTGACAACAGCACGTTTCTGGGAACTCCAGACCCGTTTCATGACTGTAACTTGTCGGATCTCATGTACGCTCTGCGCCGACGCTTCACTTATCCTCCACGCCAACGTTTACGTGAACCCGCTGCAGTGACGTCAGAGCTTCCGGTTGACTTTCTACCGGAAGCTTTCGTAATGCCACTGCGTCTCTCCGCTACCGCGTCAAACATCTACTCCGCATTAACTTTTCTGAGAATTCCGTGGCGCTTCGCTCCGGCAGCTGCTCACCTCTGATGACATTTCCAGTCGGTACGTCCGGCTGGCGGGGAGGCGACATGGCGACGGCGACCTCAGCTCACCACGCAAAGGACTTAACGCGCGTACCAGCGCCAAGCAAACACCGCACAGGACCTAACGTGCGTACCAGCGCCAAGCAAACGCCGCACAGGACGTAACGCACGTGCCAGCGCCGCACAAACACCGCACAGCCGTCCGGCCCGTCCAGGACGGGCGCCGGCGCGAGAGGCACGGGCCGGCCCGCTCCGCCGCTCGGCGGCGGCTCTCCGTGAGCTGCGCAGCTCTGTGCGCTTCGCAGCTCACGGAGCTGCCTCGCAATTCCGTGAGCTTCACGGCTCCGTGAGCCGCTTTGCAGCTCCGTGGGCCGCTTCGCAGCTCCGTGCACTTCGCAGCTCCGTGAGCTTTGTAGCTCCGTACAATTCACAGCTCCGTGAGCTTCGCAGCTTCGTGTGTTTCGCAGCTCGGTGGCTCAGCAGCCGCCTCCCTCTGGACACGCGGCGCGACTGGCGCGACCGGACGTCTCCTCTCCGGACAGGTCCTCCCCGCGGGCCGGTCCTCCTCGCCCTCCGCCGCACTTCCGCGCGCACCGCCCGCCCGACCACACCCACTTCCGCCTATTGGCCTCTCGCCGGCCAGGCGTGAGGCGCCGTCTCCGGCGGCGTCGTCCGCCGCGCGTGCTCGCGCCGCGCCGCGCGTCGGCCTTGTGCTGAGCCGAGACCGGTCCTGCGCCGTCCTCCCGGTGTCCCATCCCCTCTGCGGCCGCCGGGGTTATCTAATCAGCGCCGCGTCTTAACCTCGGAGACGTCGCGGTCATGCGGTCGGCGGCGGTCAGCTGAGCGAGCTGATAATGATCGCGGCGGCCGGTGATACGGGAAGGGGGAGGGGGAGAGGCGTGTGGCGGCGCTGCCATCGGAAGTGAGCGTCGCACATGACTGGGACCGGTCGATACGCACCGGGCGGAGGAGACGAAGATGGGAATTTGATAACTTCTCGTAGTTTCACAATCGCCCTGGATCGGCATGTATGCGCGTTCGCGGAAGGACGGGACTGCTATGGAATGCGTTTGGGGCCCTATTGATGGTAGGATTTTGATATCCGGGAACTGTCAAACTGAGTGCGAAAAAAGGCGGAAGAAATCAAACTTTTGAAAAACGTTTTATAGCGCATGTTGCAGAGCCACCTAAATGCTGCCTATCTCTTTACAGCCGCCGTGACTTGGTGTAAGCGGCGTAGATTGCTGATGCGATAAGATTCCTGTACCCAGTGTTGACAGACAATAGTCGCCACGTGTGTTTTATCGCCCTGTTTTCCAGCAGGTGGGGCCACGATCAGCTCAGCGGGCGGAAGCGCAGCCCAACCGAACTTCTACAGCACGGTCAGTCGACGCGATACCTAGACAGATCAAACATACCGCCTTTTATCGGGAGCGCCGAGACCACGGCATAGTTCCTCCAGATGTAAAAGTGCATGGACTCACACAAGCTCATTGTGTGCATTCAGTACCTATACGGGTCAAAAATAAGAATCCCGCAACGACCACAGGGAGTGAGCCACCGTCCAGTCCGTCCTGGACCTGCTTGCTAAGGCATGGGCGACTTCGGCTCCGGACGCCCTGACCGAGGGTCACGACTATCATTGGCAAACCTCCCGCCCCCGTCGTTACCGAGCGCCAGACGAACGTCGAATGCACGGAGGATATCAACAAACTCCGGCTTCTTTCAAGGACGACGTCCGCGAGTCCGGAGATCGTGCGCGCCGACTCCCGTAAGCGGTGCATTCGCAGACGGCATTAATAACAAGGCGAGGACCAGAACAACCGGTGCTGTACGTGTCCGACACAGCCTCGCCGCCAAGGCTGCTCGGCGGCATCACCTGTCAGACAGGTGATCGGGGTACTAATCGTGCGCGCGCTCCGCACGATGTGGACGTGAGGATGTGGATGTGGACGAGGTCAGAGGCCAGCCAGATTATGCCGCGCTGCTCGGAGTGCCAACGAGCATACAGATGACGTTCAGGCTCGCGTTGAGAGGCCCGATTCGATGCGTCAGCGCACTGCCGCTGCGTGGAGATTGGTTCGTGGTAGGGCCACGGTCGTAACATTCCAAAATCGTTTGATGATTAATATTTGAAGCTCTAGTCAGTGTTGTCGTTTCTGGACTCTACGACTCAGATGTATTCCACCAGAATGAGAAACGAACGCTCATTTTGACACTGCACTATTCAGTACTCAGAGCGCCATAAACCGGCTTCAAAAGTGAGTGAGCAGTGATGACTTCGCGCGTTGGTTCATCGAACTGTCCTTAAACCCTCCCGGGAGTTCGGCGTAGAAATCACGGACGACGCATTTCGCAACAAGTGGTCACACTATTCTTAGCCTCGGAGGCAAACGAGGCTCTCTCGCTCAGTCCCGAAGGCAAAGGAGGCTCTCTCACTCAGTCCCGAAGGCAAACAAAGCTCTCTCACTAAGTCCCGAAGGCAAACGAGGCTCTCTCACTCAGTCCCGAAGACAAACGAAGCTCTCTCAGTATCGGCAAATCACCTGCTATCAGACTTATCAAGCCTTATCACACATACCGGGCAATGCTCGAGAACAGGTAATCAGAGGCCCGGCGGAAAACCCGGCCTGGGGGCGCCAGCGGGCATCCTGACGGCAGCGCGTGCTGCCGTGCGGCCATCCACGACCACTCCCAACGACGTCACCGTGACGTCACGAGCAATGTCACTGTCCTGGCAGGACCGACTCCCCTGCAGCCTTTTCTCAGAGCGGGCTATCTTCCGTGACGCTAGACCTGTTTCGAGGGCGGGCTACCCGGGCCGATAATGACAGGCTGGTTTGCGGTGGTTTGCGGTGGTTTGCGGTGGTTTGGTTTGCGGTCCTCGCTCGCGCCCGTCGTAGACGGACACCGTTGATGCTTCCGTGTATTCTATCGCGCATTGGTAAGTCCTTATCGACCCGTGTCGCGAAACTCCCCACTTGAAATCCAGCGTGCGCTGAATGCCATGCTCGTGGTTCATGACATCCGGAGATCGGATCATCGGCCTTTCAATGCATTACATCAATTGCATTGCATTGAACTGCATGGCATTCGATGCTGGAAATGACACGTGGCCCTTATTGAAGGAGTTATCCTATGGGTATTCCACCACAGAATTTACAAAACAAAGCTGCGGGCGGAGTCACTGGTACGCAGCCACATATCGTGTCAACGCCGGTGGCCGCCCAGGAAATCACGGTTATGGAAGACGATACTTCTGGCCAGTGAGAGCTCTCCGCATCATGTTTAGTTATGATGTGGACGAATGCGATACGGGCCCTCCAGTCAGTTGAGACACCGCGGAAGAAACCGCAACATCGATCATTCCCTTTCCTGCCTATCCTTTCTCTTACCCTGCCTGTCTCGCTCTCTCTGGCCTTCTTCTTGCCCCCTCTCTCCCTGTCCCGTTTGTGCCTCTTCCTGTGCGTACGTCATGCACGGTCAACGCGACAAGGAACGCAACGTCAACATAACATAGCATGGTGTAGCATAATATAACTCAGCACCGGAAGCTGCTGATAGCAGTTTCAGCATCAGATGCGTTAACCATGGGTGTTTGTTAAATAATTGTAGGTCTGATCATTCATCATGGCCGGAACCACCATTGATCATCCCCGCGATCATTGATCATATCATTGACCAATGCCCCGGACGCTGATCCCTGCATTTGCACTGGAAACCCGTATAGCTTGGTGCACAACCGGCCTGCACCACTCGACCCATATTTGGTGACTCGGCTCACTAGCACACTATTTATGCATGCGGCCTGCGAGAAACGTCCACAACATCCGGCCTTACTCACATGCATGAGATCAACCGGACACGCGCTGCTCCAAGTCGAGCCTTATGCGTTGGCTTAGGTGCCGACGAACTGAAGTACGGGGGCGAAGATCACGTACGCTCTCAGTGCAACAATCGGTCACTGCGACTGGAATGCCAATGCTAATTATTTCTTTGCATCGTAAGATAATCAAGACAGCTATGAACGGAATTAAAATAGGACTTAAGCTGAATTATGTACCTACAAAATAATCCAACCCAACACAGCCTTCCTATTTACTTGCTATTTCCTCACTTTTTGAGCCGGAAATACTTTGTTCACCGTATTGCTAGGTAGATGGCCGTTTTTCATGGAATGAAATCGGACAAGTTTCCGAACGATGGCACAAGTAGCGATATGGATACACACAGATACTGACACATAAGACGCCACATTCTAAAATACAAATTAGATTTATCGATATCTATCGCGTAACCGTATTGTGCACAATACTTCTATACAACTAAAAAGTACCCATACATAAGCCTAACTGATGACGAAAGATAGCCATCGTTTGTTCCCTTATTGGCGACACCACGTGAGGTTGAACCTCACGAAAAGCATCGAATTTCGTCAAGAAGGGTGGAGTAGCTCATCGCGGCTGGCCATGTTTTGACCCCGCATGGGATGCCAAAAGCCCTCAGAAGCATTCCGCTGACACACCGGAGTCAGAAAAGCTCATAGTTCAGACCACTTCTGCCGCGGTGTCGATGTTCTGATAATGCTTTATGTTTAGGAGGGCTACCATCTTGAGCCGCTCGAGCGATTTAATCGTGACCAAAATTTTAACACGGGCTCCAGATCCAGCAGCAGGGTACTGGGCTCCTCTCCATACCTCCCCTCCTCCTCTCCGTAACTCCTTTTCTCCTCTCCCTACCTCCTCTTCTTCTTTCCGTACCTCCTCTCCTCCTCCCCCTACCTCCTCTCCTCTCCCTACCCCGAGCATCGGGCAGTGGCGTCTGCGCGCCCCGGGTGTGTTGCCATGTAGGTTATGAAGCGGATAATATCACAAAACCTCGCGTTGAATGATGAGGTCCGTGTTCTATTCTCGTGTTCTCCGCATGCCGCGTGCGATCTCGCGATCTCGTGCTCGCGTTTTCCGGCGGCCGGCAGGTAGAGTCAAGGATCCGGCATCGGGTTTGAAAGGATGAGGATGCGGTAAGCGAACATTGCCGCCTTGATGCGATGCCATCCGGCGAAAGTGGAGCGGCTTCTGATCAGAGACCATCGTTTTGCGCTGGTCGCTGCAACGGGGTCGTGTCAGGGTCAAACGCCCGGTATTAGAAGATCAACGCGCCAGTCCAGGCGGGCCTCTCAGGCGCTTATCTCCTATCTGCA